TCGCTCAACAGGTTTCTAAAATGACACAAATTAATTTCTGTTTTCATCTCCATTGAAGAACTTAGGACTCCGTCCAGTTTTACAACTAATTTTGGGTTCCCACCCGCAGCACATGATTCGATCTACCCGGTCGATATCCTCGTTGAAGTAAAAAAACTGTATCCATTTGCGATGCTCCCTCATTGCACACCAAATTTTCCGGGTTTCCAGTAAATCTGCATCTTTCCGACCTTTCACTCATGTACAACGTTTAGACCGGTTAGATGTTTTGCGCGTATGAGAATCATTCAAGCGTTATTTTGACGAACCTATATAGAGTGGTGAGGATTAAAAAAAACTGTATCCATTTGCGATGCTCCCTCATTGCACACCAAATTTTCCGGGTTTCCAGTAAATCTGCATCTTTCCGACCTTTCACTCATGTACAACGTTTAGACCGGTTAGATGTTTTGCGCGTATGAGAATCATTCAAGCGTTATTTTGACGAACCTATATAGAGTGGTGAGGATTACTGGCATCAGATAGCTGGATCTGTATTTTCTAAAAGCTGTAGAACCATGTTCTTTTCTTATAGTCTCATTACTGGAAACATATACTAGAAAATAATGCTTGTTTATACATATGCGCCACGTGTTTGGCAACGACAACGGATAGATAATGATGTATAGTTGAGCGTGATCCGGCCGGTTCTGGTAATTTATTGATATCAAGATTTTGTGGCCATATTTTTACTTCCAAAAGATTAATTTGTCTTGAGTGAATATTTTCTCTCTGGAGCTTTTAGTGTCAAGTCAGTCATAACTAGTCCAGAGAGTACACGTTTAATATGTCGCGGTGAAGCACTGTGCATTTATATTGATCTCTTTCTGGCTGCTGCTGATATCTTCATCCTCTGAGTTTTTTACATCAGGAATTCGACTCTTATCCTTACTGCTGCAATCTGTGTAGGCATTTTTTGCTTCTAGCGCCTTTTTTGATGCTGGTGCAACTGAATACACATATGTTCGTCTTTTATCAACAACTGATTGCTTACATGCGCTGCTGACCTCTCTGAATTTCCTATAAATATCCGAAATTCTGCCTTTTTAAGAACCATAGTGTTTTTCTGTTCTGTACCTTAAAAATTTGTTCGAATATCAAGAGTCTATTTGGGTAACTACATGTTTGGTTATTTCTAACGGACTCGTACTATGTTCTCTTTGCATATCCTAAAACTCCAACGATACAGTCCATGAGGCTTACATGAACTCCCTTGTGTTGAAAACAAGCCTTATATGGAACTGTAAGCGATTCATTAGGTGCGTGATTCACCATACAGCCAAGCCCGGCAACAACGATGCTATAATCACTCCTTTTCAACTTTTTTCTTTACTTAATCTGCCTATGGCTTCGGTGTGCTTGTAAACAGCAGGTGTTGTACCGCGGAGCTTGTTTGAGATAGTTTTTGGTTAACTCTCAGCCATGCAGTGACCATCACTGTTCAACTGCCAACGCTAAGAACCGGGTCGTTTGTAGAGGAGCACATCCTCTTTGACTGCTAAACAACTGATCTGTGGAATGTTGGAATCACCCGTAAATGGCACCTGGAAGAAGTGCATTAATCTTGAATCCGCAGGTGGGCTTCTGTATGTTGAGGCGTTTATGCGCGTAGATCTCACATTCACCGCTATGGAGCACCAGTAGCCCAATGATCATTCTGCTCTGTTTTCTTTTCCATCTAACACATCTTTGTGTAAGTGCGGGGGATAGGGGCAAGTATTGGAGTTGATGGAACGATCAGTTGATAGCTACCAGCTAAATGCGATGCAGAAAGAGCTCCTTATGGGACGGGGTCCTCCGACATGTGCAGCACACGTCTTAACCAGGGTGGCCTGGTAGGCATGAGCGATTAATTCGTCCTGGGGTTTCACTGTTTTAAAACCCATCAGACACACTCAAGCATTGCTAATCCAATGTTCCCTAGATCAGGCTAATTCTTTTGGACACCGATGGTCAAACACCGACAAATCTTGTATGTCCTCCGTGCTTGGAGGCTACGTTTTTGTCCAATAAAGCGGGATGGATCGCACCGCTGCAGTGTCACATCTTCTACTGGAAAAGTAGCCTCATATCCGGCAGGTCACTCATAAGTTATACAACTTTTCAGGCAAATATATTTGTCTGCCTTGTTTCGGCTGTAAGCATGGGTTTCGGGCTTGATCTATGACAGCCTTGTAGCAGCGCCTTACACTTTGCACTTGTGAGACACATGCTAAACTGTGCAGCAGAACTATTTAGGTTATTTGAAATGAAGAGCATTTTTAAAGGGCCTGAGCAGAAGAAAACAGTGTCGTCCGCATACTCAATGTCTGTAATAGAAAACATTGAAGCATTTCGAACCCAGACATAGAAATTTTAAGAGGCACATTAATAATAAAGTTGAGTAGGAGAGGCAAGAGATGGCAGCTTAGTATTACTAGATTAGATGGGGTGAGCTTAATCAAAAGCTTGCGGTATACTTGTAATCGCTTACAGAATTTCCAATACAGCGCCCTTATAAGAGGAATAAATTTGAAAGGGACACCATTGGTCTTATGGCTCCGCCAAAGTGTTTGACGGTTGACCGTGTCAAAACCAGATTTCGGATCAATGAGAAACGATCAACTCGGGACGCCTGAAACCGTATTGCGCTTCAAGAACTTATCTTAAGGTAAAAATATGGTCAATTCATTCCCGGTCAGCGTGAAACCCAGCTTGATTATCTACTAACAATCGACAAATATGCGCAAAATAATGCCAGAGAACACCTTATATGCAAAATATACAAAGTTAACGGCATGGTATCTCTTATACGACATTCGCGGTCCTTTTTAGAAACTGGGATGACAACCAAGATGCTCTGTTTCGCTTGTGTTCTGCTTTTGTTCCAAATCCTCTGCAATAGGGTCGTTGTCTGTTCACCAGGATTTCACCACCTTCTTTGAAGAGTGCGTAGTACCTGCCATGCGGTCTAGGTGCATTGTTGCGTTGAAGGCGTGGTATCTCACGCTGGATTTCTTTCGCTGATGGAGGCTGTTGTCGATGTTCCATTCAGGCCCGTTGAGTTCTTTCAGCGGTTATGTTGAATGGAACCAGCTGAACTGGCCCTTAAAGTATTCGGCCTGGTTCTTGAGACGCCGATTTTGTGAGTGAATTGTCGTCTCCTCTTTTTTACTAACACTGGCTCCCCTGTACGGTCAATCAAATCATCCGAAGCACGGCAAACCTGTTGCACCTTTCGGTTAGAACTTTATTGTTCTTTCATCCCACCTGAGATGTGTCCTGAGGTAGCTTGCTACTGAAATATTGGATTACACTTATCCAAGAAGGACTTCGGATACTTGTGTCTCATCCATGACTGAACGCTATTCGGAAGCCACGCATGTTCATCTAGAAGATCACTCTCGTATTCCTTTTCTGTAATGATGTGGGATACGGTATTGAAAGCGACTGTGGATATATTTTGGTTAATTTAGGACACATCTGAGTCAACCTTCTGCTTAAAATGGTGTTTTCTGTCTGTAGAGCTCTTAAAACAGACCGTTCCACCAAACAAGACCCGTTAGGTCGTCTTCTGTGGATGGTCCTTGTTTCGCTGTCTAGTGTATTTGCACATTATATATATATATATATATATATATATATATATATACGTCAGCGACTCTAGTTGGTGGCACTCACGCGTGCCACGTACGATAAGTCAAAGACGATCGCTTTGGAAATTTTTCCGAATAGTTGTAGAGAAAGCCGCAACCTTGGTTCCATTAGTGTTCTTTCACTCCAACCAACTAGCCCCAATATTGACGCCTTTCTTTAAACCCTGTCCCTGGATGCGAAAATGAGTGCAAGTCATATTGTGAGCTTCTTGTTTCTGCATCAGGTCATTTTTTGTCCAACTGGGCCTCTTCCATTTGGCTTCTTCTATGAATGCCGCCAGAGGAAGTAACTTGGATGTTTTAGCTTCCGCAAGAAATGGAAATTCCTGTAGGTCTTCCAAGTCGTCCAGCGTTGAATACTTGAATGCCTTTTCTTGCTGACCCATCATTTCATCGCATGCATCTACAAACAAAGTAAAATGGGCGTCCGAAGACTTTTATACTTGTTAGGTCCCATTGTGGCAGAGTTCTGCTGGTCACAGAAGAAAACTCTCAATCAATTCTATCGGCTTATTTTTGGAGGGCTAAGTTGTTCTGTTTGTCACTTGGTTGCCAAAACTATCGGTGATGAAATGGCTTCCCAGATATGCAAACTTCTTGGCTTTTCCCAAGACACGACCTCAAAACTGAACTCTGTAAGTCCAGTATTATCACTGTTATAACCCAACCCTAAACTGAGCTACCTCATCAAATTGAGATGCATGTTTCTGCCGCAAAAAAACTGTATCCATTTGCGATGCTCCCTCATTGCACACCAAATTTTCCGGGTTTCCAGTAAATCTGCATCTTTCCGACCTTTCACTCATGTACAACGTTTAGACCGGTTAGATGTTTTGCGCGTATGAGAATCATTCAAGCGTTATTTTGACGAACCTATATAGAGTGGTGAGGATTACTGGCATCAGATAGCTGGATCTGTATTTTCTAAAAGCTGTAGAACCATGTTCTTTTCTTATAGTCTCATTACTGGAAACATATACTAGAAAATAATGCTTGTTTATACATATGCGCCACGTGTTTGGCAACGACAACGGATAGATAATGATGTATAGTTGAGCGTGATCCGGCCGGTTCTGGTAATTTATTGATATCAAGATTTTGTGGCCATATTTTTACTTCCAAAAGATTAATTTGTCTTGAGTGAATATTTTCTCTCTGGAGCTTTTAGTGTCAAGTCAGTCATAACTAGTCCAGAGAGTACACGTTTAATATGTCGCGGTGAAGCACTGTGCATTTATATTGATCTCTTTCTGGCTGCTGCTGATATCTTCATCCTCTGAGTTTTTTACATCAGGAATTCGACTCTTATCCTTACTGCTGCAATCTGTGTAGGCATTTTTTGCTTCTAGCACCTTTTTTGATGCTAGTGCAACTGAATACACATATGTTCGTCTTTTATCAACAACTGATTGCTTACATGCGCTGCTGACCTCTCTGAATTTCCTATAAATATCCGAAATTCTGCCTTTTTAAGAACCATAGTGTTTTTCTGTTCTGTACCTTAAAAATTTGTTCGAATATCAAGAGTCTATTTGGGTAACTACATGTTTGGTTATTTCTAACGGACTCGTACTATGTTCTCTTTGCATATCCTAAAACTCCAACGATACAGTCCATGAGGCTTACATGAACTCCCTTGTGTTGAAAACAAGCCTTATATGGAACTGTAAGCGATTCATTAGGTGCGTGATTCACCATACAGCCAAGCCCGGCAACAACGATGCTATAATCACTCCTTTTCAACTTTTTTCTTTACTTAATCTGCCTATGGCTTCGGTGTGCTTGTAAACAGCAGGTGTTGTACCGCGGAGCTTGTTTGAGATAGTTTTTGGTTAACTCTCAGCCATGCAGTGACCATCACTGTTCAACTGTCAACGCTAAGAACCGGGTCGTTTGTAGAGGAGCACATCCTCTTTGACTGCTAAACAACTGATCTGTGGAATGTTGGAATCACCCGTAAATGGCACCTGGAAGAAGTGCATTAATCTTGAATCCGCAGGTGGGCTTCTGTATGTTGAGGCGTTTATGCGCGTAGATCTCACATTCACCGCTATGGAGCGCCAGTAGCCCAATGATCATTCTGCTCTGTTTTCTTTTCCATCTAACACATCTTTGTGTAAGTGCGGGGGATAGGGGCAAGTATTGGAGTTGATGGAACGATCAGTTGATAGCTACCAGCTAAATGCGATGCAGAAAGAGCTCCTTATGGGACGGGGTCCTCCGACATGTGCAGCACACGTCTTAACCAGGGTGGCCTGGTAGGCATGAGCGATTAATTCGTCCTGGGGTTTCACTGTTTTAAAACCCATCAGACACACTCAAGCATTGCTAATCCAATGTTCCCTAGATCAGGCTAATTCTTTTGGACACCGATGGTCAAACACCGACAAATCTTGTATGTCCTCCGTGCTTGGAGGCTACGTTTTTGTCCAATAAAGCGGGATGGATCGCACCGCTGCAGTGTCACATCTTCTACTGGAAAAGTAGCCTCATATCCGGCAGGTCACTCATAAGTTATACAACTTTTCAGGCAAATATATTTGTCTGCCTTGTTTCGGCTGTAAGCATGGGTTTCGGGCTTGATCTATGACAGCCTTGTAGCAGCGCCTTACACTTTGCACTTGTGAGACACATGCTAAACTGTGCAGCAGAACTATTTAGGTTATTTGAAATGAAGAGCATTTTTAAAGGGCCTGAGCAGAAGAAAACAGTGTCGTCCGCATACTCAATGTCTGTAATAGAAAACATTGAAGCATTTCGAACCCAGACATAGAAATTTTAAGAGGCACATTAATAATAAAGTTGAGTAGGAGAGGCAAGAGATGGCAGCTTAGTATTACTAGATTAGATGGGGTGAGCTTAATCAAAAGCTTGCGGTATACTTGTAATCGCTTACAGAATTTCCAATACAGCGCCCTTATGAGAGGAATAAATTTGAAAGGGACACCATTGGTCTTATGGCTCCACCAAAGTGTTTGACGGTTGACCGTGTCAAAACCAGATTTCGGATCAATGACAAACGATCAACTCGGGACGCCTTAAACCGTATTGCTCTTCAAGAACTTATCTTAAGGTAAAAATATGGTCAATTCATTCCCGGTCAGCGTGAAACCCAGCTTGATTATCTACTAACAATCGACAAATATGCGCAAAATAATGCCAGAGAACACCTTATATGCAAAATATACAAAGTTAACGGCATGGTATCTCTTATACGACATTCGCGGTCCTTTTTAGAAACTGGGATGACAACCAAGAAGCTCTATTTCGCTTGTGTTCTGCTTTTGTTCCAAATCCTCTGCAATAGGGTCGTTGGTCTGTTCACCAGGATTTCACCACCTTCTTTGAAGAGTGCGTAGTACCTGCCATGCGGTCTAGGTGCATTGTTGCGTTGAAGGCGTGGTATCTCACGCTGGATTTCTTTCGCTGATGGAGGCTGTTGTCGATGTTCCATTCAGGCCCGTTGAGTTCTTTCAGCGGTTATGTTGAATGGAACCAGCTGAACTGGCCCTTAAAGTATTCGGCCTGGTTCTTGAGACGCCGATTTTGTGAGTGAATTGTCGTCTCCTCTTTTTTACTAACACTGGCTCCCCTGTACGGTCAATCAAATCATCCGAAGCACGGCAAACCTGTTGCACCTTTCGGTTAGAACTTTATTGTTCTTTCATCCCACCTGAGATGTGTCCTGAGGTAGCTTGCTACTGAAATATTGGATTACACTTATCCAAGAAGGACTTCGGATACTTGTGTCTCATCCATGACTGAACGCTATTCGGAAGCCACGCATGTTCATCTAGAAGATCACTCTCGTATTCCTTTTCTGTAATGATGTGGGATACGGTATTGAAAGCGACTGTGGATATATTTTGGTTAATTTAGGACACATCTGAGTCAACCTTCTGCTTAAAATGGTGTTTTCTGTCTGTAGAGCTCTTAAAACAGACCGTTCCACCAAACAAGACCCGTTAGGTCGTCTTCTGTGGATGGTCCTTGTTTCGCTGTCTAGTGTATTTGCACATTATATATATATATATATATATATATATATATATATACGTCAGCGACTCTAGTTGGTGGCACTCACGCGTGGTACGTACGATAAGTCAAAGACGATCGCTTTGGAAATTTTTCCGAATAGTTGTAGAGAAAGCCGCAACCTTGGTTCCATTAGTGTCACTCCAACCTGCCACGTACGATAAGTCAAAGACGATCGCTTTGGAAATTTTTCCGAATAGTTGTAGAGAAAGCCGCAACCTTGGTTCCATTAGTGTTTTTCACTCCAACCAACTAGCCCCAATATTGACGACTTTCTTTAAACCCTGTCCCTGGATGCGAAAATGAGTGCAAGTCATATTGTGAGCTTCTTGTTTCTGCATCAGGTCATTTTTTGTCCAACTGGGCCTCTTCCATTTGGCTTCTTCTATGAATGCCGCCAGAGGAAGTAACTTGGATGTTTTAGCTTCCGCAAGAAATGGAAATTCCTGTAGGTCTTCCAAGTCGTCCAGCGTTGAATACTTTAATGCCTTTTCTTGCTGACCCATCATTTCATCGCATGCATCTACAAACAAAGTGAAATGGGCGTCCGAAGACTTTTATACTTGTTAGGTCCCATTGTGGCAGAGTTCTGCTGGTCACAGAAGAAAACTCTCAATCAATTCTATCGGCTTATTTTTGGAGGGCTAAGTTGTTCTGTTTGTCACTTGGTTGCCAAAACTATCGGTGATGAAATGGCTTCCCAGATATGCAAACTTCTTGGCTTTTCCCAAGACACGACCTCAAAACTGAACTCTGTAAGTCCAGTATTATCACTGTTATAACCCAACCCTAAACTGAGCTACCTCATCAAATTGAGATGCATGTTTCTGCCGCGTCGACCCCGAACTTGACTCAGAATTTCACAGGAGTTGAGTATGCAAACAAATCTGGCCTTGTTGACCTAACCTGGTATAGTCTACCGGTTTGTTCAAGTTACTACGGCCACCATTACACAGCTGGAATCTCATAGTATTCCCAGAGTCTCTTGGAGAACGAGGAATATTTCTCTTCGTTGTCCATTTATATGCATTGAGGAGCATGGTGAATCGACAGTATAGCTCTTGGTGATGTCCATAAAAAAAGAACACCACTAAATGTTAATCGATATAATTGTCTTTTGTGGGAACCGTACCCATTGGTTTCAGATGAGTAATCACAACCCATGTTTCTGGTTGCACTTACTAGATTTTTTGCTGACACATCCATGCATTCTTCCTAATTTAAGTTGCTGGTCACGTGGTGAGTCATGACGTAAGTCCATATGTTGACACCTGTCTGGTTTGACTTTAATGCACCTGGGCTGTATTGAGCTTTGATGCTTCTCATAATGGATGCCCTCAAAACTCTGTGCTGAAAAACGCTTGGGTTTGCTGGTAGAACCATTCCTTTACAGAGATATTTGTCCAAAGAGATTGTTAGTTACAGTCGTGTTGAAGAGAAGAAATGCTCTTGAGGTTACTAACTATGAGGTCAAACAAGATGGCTGTATCTTTGGATGTTCAATATTTGAAGGTGACCACCCAAAAGAAATGAAAAGCTTGGTTGAACTGTTCCGCAAATTCATGATCATGTAATCAGTGATAGTTTCCCAAAATGCCAGTCTGTCCTACGAATGTGAGTCATGAAAGAGACCATATACGTATGCTTCGGTAGCCTAAACTGAAACCTCTCGTCGTTTCATTAGCCAGAATTGTTTTATTTTTGGATGGTCCCCGACAATGAACCATTCCAGCACCTGTGTGAGAAGATGCCAGAGGTCGCTTTTTGCTCTAGAACCCACTCCTGGGTTGAAGTTTTGAGGAGGACAATCCGTAGGTGAATATGCAACAAACGGTAAGCGGCTTGTCTGCTTTGCAAACATTCCCGGATCCGTTAATTGCCTTTCTGTAACAAGGGGACAATGGTACAAGTGCCCTGGAGATATCTGTAAGAAAACTACGGTACCGGAAAGTTACTAAATCTTTCTGAGATCTGGAACACTTGAGCATTTAACAGTGTTCTTATTTCATCGTAAACAGGAACTTTCTTAGAAAAAAATAATAACAGTCTTTTGAACTGTCACTGGGACGATATAATTCCAGTTTTACACTAAGATTTTGAAATTACGGAATTTCATAGAGTTCAAAATGCGGACACTTTTGGATGGAATAGCTTTACCTGAAGATTTCAGGCCACTAACGAATAGTGAGTATTATGGTGTTATGATCATTATTATTTTGTTTGGACACAGGTAGCCGTCAAGTACATTTGATGCGGGTACGGCAGACGTATGCCCACAAAAAGTTCCTCCAATTCACTTCGGTCTAGACATGACAGAGACTGGCACTTTAAACGCAAAACGCTGAACCTTCAAAAACACACACTTAGCTTGCAAACATTTGAGTTCCTCTCTACATATTGCCTGACTGCGGATGCCTTTGACAAGACATAACCGGATGTTTGGCTCAAGCTTGCTATTCTTTAAGAGCCACCTGATTTTGTCCTAGACTTTAAGCAAGTGCGCTTTCATATCGTTCTAGTATCACTTCTAATTCAGTCAGGTTTGTATCCAGTGCCGAAATCACTGATACCCGGAAGTGAGTCAGCCTACCCCCGCTCGAGGAATCGGCGATTTATCTGTCGTTGTTGAAACCAGTTGCGAATAGAACTCCCTCAGGATGCGGTCTACGGTTTAGATTTATTGAGATCTCCAGTTATGGAAATCCTTGCACTCGAGAGACAAAGCCAGCAAACTAACCGAAAAGACTGAAACGGTGAATCCTACAGGGTTTCTACATGCAACAACCAAGACTCTCGTAATCTCACAGTCAAAAGATATCCGTATATGTCATCCATGCTCTCACTTTAGTAGATCCCCTCTTGGCTCCTACCTTGTCTCATACTTTGGATTTTGTTAGAATGGCAACAACTCTGTCTTCTGTTGAAATGCTCTCTTGAATATTGCATGCTGAACATTCCTCTCGTTTACTTTGCCTTCTTTTAACTAGGTATCAGAGTATCAGTGTCAAATTTGGTTTGGATATTCCCTCATGGTTTCATACATAAGAAGGCGGTGCTTGTACTTCATGCATAGACTAGACAGAGTATCAAATCCTAAGCAGTTTACACAGACACTAGTCCGATGGTCCATTGGTAGACCTCTCTATTGTACTTCAGCTTTATGAGTTTCAAACCAGTAGCTTATATTTCCCTATATGGACACTCATTTCCCTCCTTGAATATTAATCATCTAAGTTTCTATTCGCTTCTCTCTCCTCCAGGTCTCTGTTCTCTCACAGATGAATCATCCAAATATTGTGCGCTACTGTGACTCGTTTGAAGGTAAGTTTCCTGTAAGAACTAACCTAAACGTTATTGTCTTCAGATCTCACCTCCTTATACATAGTTATGGAGTACTGTGACCAAGGTGATTTGTACCACAAAATCAATGCCCAGAAAGGAGTACTCATGGCAGAGTCACGTGTAAGTCTGAAAATACACATCCAAATCTTCTCGAACACCATTTATCGGTAGGTGCTGGACTATTTTGTGCAAATTTGTTTGGGTTTGAAGCATATTCACGACCGAATGATACTTCACCGGGACATCAAAACACAAGTAACGTCAAAGAGTTCCAGTCTACCATTAAAATCACATTTTAGAATATTTTCCTTACGTCAGATGGACGGGTGAAACTGGGCGACTTTGGCATTGCCAAAGTTTTAAACCATACTTTAGACCTTGCTCGAACGTGCATCGGGACGCCGTATTATTTGTCACCCGAGATTTGTGAAAACAAGCCATACAACCACAAAAGCGATATCTGGGCTCTGGGTTGTGTTCTATATGAGATGACAACGTTGAAGCATGCAGTATGTGGTTTTTTTGAAACTGGGCGACTTTGGCATTGCCAAAGTTTTAAACCATACTTTAGACCTTGCTCGAACGTGCATCGGGACGCCGTATTATTTGTCACCCGAGATTTGTGAAAACAAGCCATACAACCACAAAAGCGATATCTGGGCTCTGGGTTGTGTTCTATATGAGATGACAACGTTGAAGCATGCAGTATGTTGGTTTTTTTGTTTTAGAGAACATCACCCTTGCACCTGTAGTTTGAAGCTGGTAATATGAAGAATCTGGTCCTCAAAATCATCAGGTTTGTTGATTTCCACCACATGACAACTGGTCTCCAGAGGAACCTATCCTCCAGTATCGCCCAAATACAGCTATGAACTACGATGTCTTATCTCCCAATTGTTCCGTCGAAGTCCAAGGTATTTCCCCTTTTTTATCGATACAACGCCACCTTTACCGATGAGATATGTGTAGTTGAATTACAACTGGAAATGAAATTCTGAAACGCGCTGTAAAACGACAGAAAATCTGGCCTTTAAGTGGTTTGTTTTCTTATTGTGTGTCCCTGTTAATAACCCCAAGTCGAAATTTGACCGTGACAATCGCCACCGGTTTGTCGGAAACACCCATCCGTATCGAGATAAAACTAAGCATCAGTAACTTAAATTTGTACATGCACATTTCACGTAAACTCTAGTTAACTGGCAACCGTAAAAATACCTTCGCAGCAGGAGGTCACGTGATGATTCGATATTCAGAGGGAATATAGTAGCGAGAATCAAACCTGACCCAATACTTATAAGTACAGTTGAAGCGATGTTATTTGGTCTGTTGGCTAGTCTGGCCTAGATAACATCGTCTGTCTAGTTAGTCTAGCCAGTCTAGCCCGTCTAGTCCCGTCCGTTGTCCACATATGCCTCATTGAGTCGAGTCACTGACGAGTAGAACTTTTAAGAAGATATTTGAACGTTATTCTTTAGGTTGCTGCAAAAATTCTATCTAGACCAATATTTTGGTTTGTAGAGACCGTCCGTCTATTGCTACCATTTTGAGAAAGCCTTTCCTAACCAAAAGAATCCATCGCTTTTTAACAGAAACGGTGAGTTACTGCCCAAGTGAGTTACGTTAACCGTTTTAGCTCCTAATTGTGAACTTCCTTCTCGATTTTTACTCACGTTTACCTGGGAAAGAGCTCTTCAACAACATAGAAGGTTTCAACATTACTGCAAGTTGGCCTTAATATTTATGTATTGAAATCAGAACGATTGCACAGCCAAAACGATATTTGAGTGAGACGCTTTAGTAAGACGTCAACAGACGCTCACTACACTCCGAATTTTGCATATTTACTTCAGAATAGTAAATAACAGGCTACTTATGTACTACTTCTATACACAGTGAGGTGACCTTTTCCCACCCGTACTTCTTGGTCCAGAGAGTTACTTGTGTACATAATTCGGCAAATGAACAAAGTTTTAGTTGAATAGATCAAGTGGTATGTCTAGAGCACTAGTTATGGTGGAAGTCCATCATTTTTGTAGTTAATAGAAGATGTTTGGGAGAAGTGTGACCTACTCTGAAAGCTGAAGTAGTCGGTGAAAAAACACAACAAAATGCAAGTATTTTACGATGACTTTCGTTAACGTGTCATCAGTTGTCCGCTGAATAATGCCCGACAAGCGGGTTTCGCGTGCTTTCTCGTTTACATTGTTCCCTCAAGATCAGTTCGACGTGACACCACATTCAACGCTGTAAAACTATGCGCGGGCGTCCATTAATCCACGCACTCTTGAGCTGCAGACCCATCCGCATGCCAGTAGTCAGATGGACAATGGAGGGCTCCGTTCTTTCATATATCAATAAACGAAAGCCAAATAGTGCTCCTTTCAGTTTTCTGTGAGAACACTACATATGGGTGTTTGAATCATGGAATATGGTAAAAACTGCACCATTACTAGACTGGTCTTCTGTGTTTCGTCTGTTTCGTGTGGGAAAAAATCAGAAGGATGAAATTTCATAGTTCTCACACGAACTTCTATTTTTTCAAATTTAGCAAGTAGCCGAAGAGTTTAGCCACACGGTTATTCACAAGCGAAAAGCGAACGTCAAATCCTCCGTGCCAGGGAGTCCCGTCCCTTTGGGTACACCCGCTGGATCAGCATCCAAACGGCCATCTGTCGCCCTCAGTCCGAAGCCAAACCAACCGATGGCGATAAAGAAGACAAAGCCAACGTAAGAAAGTAATACCTATAATACTTGCTACTACTACTTACTACTACTGCTACTTACTACTCTAAGTCGGTGCTACTGCATCAGCCTGACTTCAATCTCAATTCATTCTATCTCACAGCTAGGTTCTCATGTTGCTTCGTCTAATAAATAGACTTACCTTGAGCAGAATTAATTTTTCGTTGTGTTCTTGTCGTCACTTAAACTGTTGCCAGTGAATTTGGGGCTTTGCGGAATGGAAAAAGACCAACAACTGCTGATAGCGAAGCGAATTCGGTTGCCAGTTCAGTGCAAAGCAATACTGGATTGGATATCAAGAAGCGGAACGAAGAGGCCCTTGCGGAGTTAAACCGTAAACGCCAAAAAGAAATTGTGGATAAACAGAAGGTAGGACGTCCTTCGGCGGTTTTAGTAGTGCATTAGGAATGTGGAATTTAATTCATTTTGCTGTGATGTTTTATTCTTGATGTGCAGTATCCATGCATTTTCTGGTCTCAGTTTTGGAATTGCCAACTTAGAGGAAATTGTGAATAATAGCACTATCACCCGGCTGATTTTCAGATCGAACTTCGAAATAGGATCCGGGAACATGGTTGGCGTAACATATTGGACCTCCGACCACCCAGTAGCGAAAATGCCAGTGGACCGCCAAGCGAAAACCAAAGTGACAGACCAGTAAGCTCGATCTATTTTACGTAACTCTGGCGTTGAAGATTAAGGGAGGCCAAATTTGATAGAACTCTTCCCAGTGATTCCACCTGACGACATGTCATTAGCGCTTCTTTAGATGACCGTAAAGGTAGTCTGAATGAATAACGGCACAACCATGGCGTAACAAGTACCTGTTTTCATTGGCTTTAGTCAATATTTCATTCTAGAACTACAGGTATGCAGCTTCGAGGACTGATCAGGTTGATTTGACAAGAATGAAATTATCACAAACCGCAGATTTGCATACAGAATTGTTTCAAATTGTTTTCAAGAGGCTTAAGGCGAGTTACGTTGAGCTGCCTCAACGAAAACTCGTGAGTGATTTCACTAAGTTCTTTCTGTAGTGTTTTTTCGAAAACTATCATGAGTACCATCATCTCCATGAACCACTTCACTTGATATTTTGTCTTCCCAGCTTTGAAGAAATGAATACATTTTTTGATTATCTTTACTTCTAAACCGCATTGGATGCTGCACCTGGTTCCCGAGTAATCCGGGTTCAAAGATGTTCAAAAGCAGTGATTTCGCCTGTGTCACTTAGCGCTAGCAACTGGATCTTATTCAAAATACATTACGTCTTGTACAACCGGTCGAGTACCACTATGGTAATCTGGGTGTGTGTCTGGAATTCATAGATAACATTCAAAAGGAAATCGGCAGTATGCATCGAGCAATCTAACATGATTCCAAATCTTTTCTAATTGATTGATAACAAGGATCTTGTTTGTAAGTAGCCAACATACTGGGATCCAGCCTGTACCTTTCAAGATTTGTGTGTCATGCTGATATTTTACTGTCTGTAGTGATAGCTTTGGCTTCGTTCATTTTCCTCACAATAGCGACAGTAAGTGACGTTTAAGTCTCAACACTGGGAAAGGGAGTGGACTTCCACGGACTGACTGAGAATATGAAACCTGGTCGTTCTGTAGCGCGATCAAGTGGAAAAATCAATAAGCAACCAAGCACTGAAGACGGTACAAGTTTTCGGAAGATATCAGGGATCCTGTTCGTCATCTCAGCGTAGACGGTCTTTTTATATGACCTAGGCCCCATTATCACGCCACATTAGCGTTCTCATCCTATTCTGAAATGAGTAGCGACCAAATAGCTTTCAAATGGGTTACCAAAGTATATACCTCTAAGAATGCAAGACTAAACGTTAAAACCAGTAGTTAAGATAAATGAATTCGGCCTGTTCACACATACCTTTGGTAAGGACGGCTATTATTGGCTTTCGTTAACCTGTGTTACGTCGCTTAATTGTGGCCGTTTTGCATGCATTTCACTCAATAATAACAACATGCATCCCTTTTATGCTGATTTACTTCCGGACAGTACAACAAATAACAAACTATTCTTGGTCTTCTAGCTTGCGGACAAGAATGAATCAATGGCTCAAAATTACAAACCAAACGGTCCATTTGTGTGTCACGCTGAGCCTGTCAACACGCCCATTCCAGCAGCAGTCAGCCGCCCGTCTTGCGTGCTGGTAGTTGCTGATGCCTATGCAAAGTACCGTGCAGAACTGGACCGAATGAAGCATGAGGCGGAACAGAGAGCTCAGGCGTTTGTTCATAACGGTAAGGGACATCCACTGATTCGTTGACTCAGCTGTAGATGAAACGGCAGACCACTTTTGATAGGGCTGACCAAAATGGCTTGCTGTTCCTAGAACTAGCTCAAGAATATCTCTCTCTCGGAGTATGAATGAGTTTGAGAGGAACCGATTCCATTCAACTGAGGTTCAACTCGTTTCTTCCAAACAACAAAACAGAGAACACAAACATAGAATGCAGTTCTCGAAAACTACCGCCGAGTGCATCAAGGATAAATACGACTACGTGCTGGGTTGAGGTGTTTTGGTGATCTCAACAGAAATACCTCCAATGTACATAAATACTTGTCATGAGTTATTTCGGTTGTACTGGTTAATGTGGTAAGTGACAGCTCACGTGGAAAGTGTATCTATTCACAGATACCGGATAGGAGCCTAGAATTAACAGCGCCGTACCCATTAGCACACATCTATACTGTCAAGATTGCTCCACGAGCACAATGACGCCTACCAAAAATATGCACACCGCCGACTGGCTTTGTGGATTCGATTCATCCAATAATTTCTGCACTAAAGGAAACAAGAACCCGTGCAATTTGGCCTTACTGACGTCTGCTATGGTGCTGTGACACTAAAACACCGCTAGTTTTGCTAAGAATTCATATGAAAACATCTCAGTCCCTTACTATTGAAAGCCCAAGAACTGTCATAGCGTTTGCAGTGGAAATAAACCTATTTATAGTGGAAGCCAAAAGGGTGGACGAAACCGCGTAAAGTTGGGCCTGAAAACACCACATGGGGCACAACAGCTTGTTAAGTGTACTTTCTGTTCTTGCCAAATCTGACACTGTCGGAAAAAAGTAACATTGAACTGTTTGTCCTGAGGACAGTATGTTAAATCCGCCCCCCTGTGTACCTTGATTCCCTCTTCAATGTGTTCCTTACCTAGTTATTTAGCACTAACTGGATCAAAATGCCATTTCCAACGTCCTGATTTACTTTGGGTCCCTTCAGACCTCTCATTTATTGAAGTACCATCAAACTTGAACGGAGACACTTGCTTGAAATGGTCAACACCATGCTGATCTTAAAAGCGGTTTCCTTCCTGAATATTTCATTTAGATTTGGGGTATGTATCGAGGCACAGCTCAGGGCGTTTCATCGGAGACACCCATTGTTTGAACCATGAGCAGTCATGTTTTCAAATGTGTAACTTTCAAAGTATTCTTCGGATAAACTGTCGCCTTCTGACGATTTCGATATTTAGATTTTTGTTCATCAGGCAACCTAGTGTGCTTAAATACTCGGCGTGTTTGACAAAGCGCAATTCACTATTGTTCCGGTAATGAGATGACCGACCTTCCTGTTATGTAGATGTTATCTCCGTAATAGCAGTTTTGTTCCGCTCGCTGCTATCCTCTAACTGGGTACATATATGGACACACTAATGGAAATGCATGGTTCTTTAATATCTCGTTTCATGAAGCTTCTGATGAGTTCTAGTCACTTTGTAAAGCGCATTTTGTTTCTAGAACCGTTGTGTAAACCAAACGGTAAACCTGTATTCATGGCTCCAAAACCTGCTGTGGAAAATTGCGGCCCGTTAAAACAGCCAGTACCTGAAGTCTTAGAACCAAAGATCCCTCCAGCTGTTGACCGTCGACCACTGCATCTTCAGCAGCAGAACAACTGTTTGGATTTAAAACCTAAAGATCCAGGCAAGTATACATACCGTACCAGGTATCGCAGTAATAATGCTGTCTGTTGTGGATTTACGCACAAGTATATTCTAAATGGGTAACCATGCTACAGAATCCTGTTATGTTTAGCTGTCCTGACGCAGACCGAGCATCGCATATTTTATTTACACCTCTTTGAGCTGGAAATTTTACCCCTGACTCCACTTGCTACTAGGCATAGCAAAGCTCGGCTAATGAAAAAAGCTCACACCGTTTATGGACATTCGCGTGCTTTTTGTGTCACACTTCCAGCTTGAGTTTTTTGTAACATTTATAAACACATTACAGGATGCTGGATGCTACTGTGAGAACTGCCTTCAACTAAACCTGAAAGAATTGGAAAAAGGTACAGTGATCTGCAGTTAGGATCAGTTAGCCCCATTGTCCTTTATGAGTGCATGGCTTCGGTCCTGAGTTTGCACAAATTTGTCTGCATATTTATTTCCGATGTCGAGAGACAGGGCTTCTACCAAATAACTCCATGAGTAGGGTACTACTAGTGCAGGGTATTAGTAAGCGGTGATCCCAGCAGATATTTTGTGGTTTTCCTGCCGCTACAAAGCAGAAAAATGTTCGAATGCTGTGTAAGCTTCTGATTCCTTAATTGGCTTGATTTTCAATGATGAATCTCACCTGTTCCACTGGTTTCTGAGTCCCGTTTATTTAGCCCGGTCTACTTAGCCCCAAAAGAATTCATTGCGTTGTTTTCCCCAGATTGCTTACAGAACATTATTCAAAGCTCACATCCCCACTGGTGATGGGTACGAACTCAGACTACCAAAGTTTTTTTTCTCGCTTCAACAACAACATGTGCTTGTTTGTAAACCACAATGTCGAAGGGCGCGTTGATTTTGAAAGTCTTCAGGCGTTATGTCGAACGATGTCCGGCCAACTGGAAGCTAAAGGGCAGAAGGCTCTCGAAAAGTTGTGACTTGGCAAGTAGTAAACGCTCGTACCATTGTGTGTTGCCGTTGCAACGAAAGAATAAAGGTCATAACACCTTCTAGGCACGACCTGCAGATATTGGACAAAAAGTATGTGGAATTGGCCAGTTGCGCCGCTTCTTAAACTATTTGCCTGAGAAACGGCAATGAAACGTTATGATTGTAAATAAACGCCTGATTTCCACCATTCGGCCAGCGCGCACCATCCACCTGCCTCCACAAAACCCGAACATTTCGCTCAGTTATCGGAACACCCAATCAGTGCGTTCCACTGATCGAAACACGTACACGTGCGCGTTAAGTTTTGCCGATTTCTCTCCTGGTCCAGGTGTGTGTGGTCACGTGGTTCGATCGGCTGATTGTGAATTTCGCCCACTCGCTGAAACTAACCCGGATGCACGGGAGCTGTATCCAGGTCAAATTGTCAACTATCGTTTGAAGGTGAATTGAAATGTTTTTATGTCGAGCAGCACAAGGAAATTAAAATTCGAAATACACTAATGAAGAAATCGTCCGGAACCGTTTTGACGAAGCTGTTCGCTTTACTAAATTGGACAGAACGTTCAATAAAGACTACGTGGTTCTGAAGCAGTTGTTTGCAGGATGGAGTCAAAAATATTTAGAATAAAGCAGAAACACTACTGTCACTCATGTTACACGAGAATAATGAAGGGCTCAACGGTTTTTCCCTACGGTGAATGCTGTCCAAACCGTTGGTTCTGTGTTGTGCTGAACGCCACAGACCACGTAAAAAAACACGTCCATTTAGCTAATCCCCAAGCTGCAGATACTACCACTGCGATCCACCAAAGCGACGTTGCTTAATTTGGCTTAATTTTTGCCGTACATCACACGCTGGGATATTGCACTGCTAAGCAATTCTTCGAACACTGCCCTCCAAACTTCCTTCGATCTTCGGACAACCGAGTTACTCGAAAATTCACCCGCCACTGTGCGAGCCTGCCAGTCTACTTCGTATAGCAAACGCCGCGGTTGCTCTGAAATCGATCCCAAGAAGTACTGGCCTTTTACCAACCAAACACCAGCGTTCACGTCTTTGAATCGCGCAAAGCAGCCTCTGTGTTGTATCCACATTCACGGTAGAGCTAGACAATGCACAAACGCTGCTCGATAACCCGCCGACCTGAAGTGCCCGTTCCTCCATCGCGGTGGAACAGACAAGGTGCCGTAATTAACGCGCACGATCCTGTCCCACCTTCCGATCGCCCTCACATTCTTACCCAAATATCCAGCCAGCTTGAAGATAAGGGAAGGTCTCACCGATTGACAGCTAACCGGATATCGTTGTTGGCTTCAGCGAGTGGGCCGAACCCACAATCAACCGAGACCACGCACAATAGGATCAGACAAAAATCGGGATGAATTATTGCACACTGAAGACGCGCACCTATGCGTTTCGGTCAGTGGAACGAACCGATTGGGTGTTCCGACGGCTGACCGAAATGTCCGGGTTTTTTGGAGGCCTGCACCGTGCGGCAGGTGGATGGTGCGCAATAACCGATCGGTGGAAAGTAAATGTTTAATTCCGCACCTCCCTTCTACGGCGCTCAATTTCCGCACAATGGAACTAAATTTTCCAAAGGTACGATGTGTCCCTGATGGACTGAGACAGCCAATTGAATTCAAAGTATGACTCCAAGTTTTTGAGCCCCATCTAGGCGTCCAGGCATCTCAGCGATACTAAGAAAGTATTCCACCGGAATTTTTTCCGCCAGAGGTATGATTTTTTCAGTGGATAATGAAATCTGGTGAGCTGCAAAAATATGGACGGAGATCGGGACAATTTTTGGTTCTAGCACATACGTAACCAAATGCAAAATTTTGGCGCAAAGAGTTTTATTCCACTCGCAAAGGTTTTGCAACTAAGAGCATTGTGCGGTCAATTCCCCCTCCTCCACGCACGAATGTGCTCGTATGCGCACCTGGGTCTGTCGCATTCATCCTTGAATAGGAAGCTACAGAAGCCGGTATCCCTCAGATCTGTGGCAAGCAAGTGATCATCAGCCCAGTCCCCATATTCCTTGAGCACACCGGTACTGATGAGTCAAGCGATCGGTGCGGGAGGAGTGGGATTGAGGAGCACATTATGCATCAGTCCCTCTTGTGAATTTATATATAGGCAGACCATTAGACCCTCAAGAAACGGAATGCCACTTTAGCGGTGAGTGCCGATGGAAGGCATAAATGGCAAGCTCGCTAATCGAACGACCGATTGCCATCGGTGGCCTTCATGTACAGTGAAGGTGAAACCGAACGGCCAACTACCCAAGTGAAATCAGCGAAAAAGAAAGTTTCGCATGGAACTGCAAGCGCTTGCAAGCAGCATAGGTTATATAAACTGTACGGCTGCCGCAGTTTCGTCGATCGAGTGCAGGAAGACCGGAAGAAAGACAAACATCCATTCATTCGTCAAGTTGATATGATTGCAGGTAAACTTCAGGGGGAGTGGTGTTGACCACCAGCTAATATATTGTGGACAAAATTATCGCAAAATCCTGCTAATTCTGGAACAGACTAAGACAATCACGGAGATTTCCCTGCACTTAAGGTCCTGTTCCGGTGACCTAATTATGGGAAAACAGTCCTTCATCAAAAGGTCAGGCGTTAAGAAAAGCAGTGAAACAGCAATTCTAGTGAGAAAGAACACATGCAATGGCAAATTTGCGCTTTAAGGGAACAGATGACATTCGCTGTCCGAAAGCACGAAAATAAATCACCTAGACTTTGGCACAGAAAATGTAGACGTGAGGCAACCAACGGAAATAATTATTTATGGCAACAAAGAGGTCCCTCTCATCAGTGGGCCTTGCAAAGGCGTGATCAACAAATAAAATACGAAATTCCGGCTGGATGAGTGCTGGCCTTCATCTATCATAAATATCCGTCCAGTTGAAATATGAGACCGCCCGTGTGTAGCACATTCAGCTGAATGACATATCAAGCAGGAGATGCAGTTGAGATCCATTTGATAATCCTTTTCATACCAACTTGATTTGCGAACAAACACTGTGGATACAAACGTCATATACAAGCAGTGAGATAAAAAAAACTCGGTTTACTACTCATGTGGCTCAGTCACTGGATCCGACCATCTGATCGGTTATCCGCTGATCAGCATCCACGACTCCACATCCAACCCTTTGCCGCACCCTGAATTTCTTTGGATCGGAACGACTATGTTCGTTTTCTGGGAAGTTAACACGTCTTCCAAAGCTATTGTTTAGGATTCGCTTAATGCTGTGACGTCCTACCCTCCCAGACTATTACATCTACCCAATCCTCATCAAATCAGTTCTGGTTCTGATTGCCCCAAGTGCATCGTTGCTGTCATGTCCGGAGTACGAACGTCTACCATCATGCTATTAATTTCTGACGGAATTGAAATAACGGTAAGCTACCTCTTGGTCCATCAGCATCTTGTTCGGAGCCTCTAATCTTTCACACTGCCGTGATATGGCATCTTTCTATTTATTTTATTGCTACCATTGAGTCAAAGTTATTTCATACATCATATATGTGCCCTCCAGGAACTTTCAGATGCCCCATACTCGTCCGTCTATCTAGCCACCTAACTAAGTCATCTCACTTGAGAATTTTATATCTACACAAACGCTTTTATACCAATCATATCAGGGTTGATGTAGCATATTGATGGAAGCCGAGGGTAAATGTGAAGTTAGTAACCTAGATGCACTGAGAATAACTTCTGCAACTTTCTTCGCAGTGTAACATTCCTAATGACAGTTGGACATAACTTTTTCCAATGATTCTAGTTCTATCCGACGACATCCTTCGGCAGCGTTGCCTTCAACTCTTCCAGCCTACATGGCCTGTTCCTGTATACCACGCACTTAAGATGGTCTCATAGGAGAAAATCCAAAGAGGTAAGGTTCAGTGATCGCGATGATCTGTCAACATGACCTCCCTGGTCAATTCATCTGGTGCCAAATCTTGTCGTCAAGTCACCTCGGATGCTTTGGTCATAATGCGGAGTCGCACCTTCTCTTTGTCACCATATTTCGTTGAGATTGCTGTCGGCATCTGGCTGCTGACATACACAGTCTTCTAACAGTAACTAGCAGACCGAGACCGAAAGAAATTTGAATCAGTTAGATTGAATTCTTTTTACCGTTTATAATTCTGCTGAGAAAAAAACATCAAGAACCCCATCCCACACCGTAAAATTAGGAGTGTGCTGGGTTCGTTCAGCCTGACGACGACATGGATGGGTGGTCGTATGTTATAGAAACCGTGAGCAGAATCTATGCCTCTTCTCCGGATCATCACAACATATCCATCTAGACCTGCTCAACTTACTGCATACCACACAGCATTGCGTCGCTGAAGTATCTGGTTTAGGCTAAAGTATCAAGCTTCTTCCAGTCCACGTATATCAGCAGAGAACTAATCTTGAATGGATGCAGGTCGACTGATCTTTTGTTGCGCACGCCTTCCGTGAGCTGGAACTTAGTACTCAGTTTCTTCATGTATTTCCCAATGATCAACCGCACAACGCAATGCTGAGCGTCGGAACATTTGGCGACAGTCCTCTCGTTATTTGCTCACTGGTCACAGTAATGCACACTTGTTGGTTCGTTGAGAAACACTCCGTACGAGTCTTCGCGACTCAAATATCGGGAACTGCTAGTATGTCAAGGATGCGTAAGTAACGTAACCGAGCGGACGCGGCCTGACAGACATCGTATTAGCTGCTAGCCTATTGCCATTCGACTGCGACAGTCAATTTTGTTTTGACCTACGCTGCTTTCAAGCGCTTGCAGTTTCAAGTGAAACTTTCCTTTCTACTGATACCCTTTAGAAAGCTGGCAGTTCAGTGTCACCTTCAAAGTACATGAAAGCCACAGGTGGTAATCGGTCGTTTGGTTGACTAGCTTGGATAGGTTTTGCCATTTATGTCTGTTCATCGGCGCTCACCGATAAAGCAGCATTCCGTTTGTTTAAGGTCGACTGCACCTCTCCCCCCACCGAGCACTTGACTCAGCAGTATCGGTGTGCTGTTGTGCTCAAGGGATATGGGGACTGGACTCATGATCACTTGCTTGTCAAAGTTCCGAGGAGAGACCAAGTTCTGTAGCCAACCCTGCAACGATGCGTGCGCCAGACGCAGTTGGGTTCGTGAGGATACTCGTGCGCTAATGCCTCACACGGATTAGATGACCGGAAATTTGGGTTTTGAACATGTGTTGGAATCTCAACTGTCTAACCCTCCCGCTTATTATTCTTAATGCCTTATTTTACATGTCCTTAGGCAAACAAACGTTTCTCCCTGGCTTCTTCCCTGCTCCGGTACCGGGACTTGGAGCGGCTCGTCGTGCACAGCTTGTGGAAGAATTCCTCATGGTCCGCCGTGAAGCAGCTAGAAACAAAGCGCGTGGTGGTGGCTATTTGATGGGCGTGGCTGCGGCTTTGGGAGCCTCCCCGCGCTATGCCGAATACGATCGAGGCAAGTGTTGCGATTTGGCCTGACTGATTCTATTAATTAATACTGGCAAATACTCCGTTACAATCTTCAGAATGGTACAACGTTTTTCCTGCTTGTCTCCATTAATGGTAACAAAGACAATTTAGAAACGCATCAAGACTGCCAGCATCTCCACCCGATGAGCCTCAAACAGGGCTAAACCAGTTGTGAATCAACAAAGATTCAGAGTGAAGCGTATCATGAAGTGTGGTATCGAAAGCACTCCTTCCAAATGTCGGACTTCAGCCCAACCAAACCATAAGGCCCTTTTCGCGCAGCATATTCGGCTCAACGGTATCTTTAACAGGTCACGAGTTGAGTCACATGTTAACGTCATCTGTTTCCAAATGGGACGGACCTGTTCAGATTGGTCACGACATTGTTGAATGAAACATTAGGATATTTTGAACTATTTTAAACTCAGCTATTCTATCCATTTTTGTTTGATGCTGATCTGTATGAACACGATCTGCGAAAATTATATTCCTGAATTACAACAAGGAGGCGTGAATATGAATACGCCTTCGATAGTTGTATCTGTGCGTACGACACTTCGACTCAGGAAACCACTCTGTCGTTTGAAATTCACCAAGGTATCACAATGTACTGCTGTAGGGTGGGACATTTATAGACACCCGAATGAGTACAGGCTGTCCTCAAATCTCCCTGAACCTATAAAAAGTGTTTACATTGGTTGACTTGAACTCGTAAAACGTAAGTTTTGATACTAGTATATAACAATCGTGTGTCCCCTTAAATCTTCTCTGGATAGAGACCTCTCCCACTGATCTTCATTATCGGCTGAAATTTACGCTGGAACTTTTGTCTTGAAGACGAACCACCTTTTTTCAGATTTGAGGGCAGACATACACTGCCTGAGATGACGACTGACTTCTAGCAATGTGTCAAAATGGTGGCTATCCGAATTTTCTTTTTGAACCAGTCATTCACCAGCAGTCAGTCTGTTTGAATAAAACAAAACTAGTGAAATCTAAACTTCTTGATGTTCCATCACGACTGACGGGCTTATTAATTTACGTAGGCAATTATAGTGCTAGCAGCTCGTTGATAACGGGTACTGCCTTCTGTCTTCTGATATGCTTACCTTGCACTATCGATGTGTTCTGTGACACCGAATACTGAATGAAATTATTTCTTTTTTTCCGTTAGCTCCATTCAAGAAGAGAGATAATGAGGTGAGTCACACCATGGTCATACGCAGTTAGAACAATAGCATTAGTGCCAACAACTGTAATCAAGCTTGTATCTTCAGTTGACTTGTTTAATGCATACAAGTTGTTGTGTAGCCAAATTCAGTGCCATGTCTATCATTGGTAACAACACCGAAGAACACTGATGTTTAATTGCCGTACAACCATACAAACTTAATGGAGGAAGCGTCCAAAAGTATTTCTTGGTTGACTATCTACTGATTAGCTCCTCTGTGTATGTCATGGCGCTCGAGTCTAACGCACCAGCCGGAAGATCCTCCATTCGAGCCCAAACTACGTACCTCCACTACTTTTGTATAGGACCGAAAAACCTAGAAGTATGTCAATCTTAGTGCTTACTTCAAATGGCACGGCAGCTATACACCGAAATGGTGCTGGATGATTTGTTAGGATGCAGTTCAATCAATACTATCACGCTGCTTGGGTAAGTTGAACTTCGAAGTAATTAAAGAATAAATGGGCTTATGAGATTGCGGAAACGAGGAGTTTCAGCGATGAATAGTCTGGTCTGGGGCTAACATATGAGTGTTTGAAAATAAAGACGCCGAACCCTGAAACAATGCATCATTTTTGAGCGAATTCTCATAATGACCCCTTCCACCTTTAGAACCGCAAGTATCTGTTAACCGGCCATTGGTTAATGAGTTGTTGTTAATCACGTGGACCCAGTAACAGCAAGCTGATGCACTACCAATCGTAACGAGAACAAGGATATTGCGCAATACGCGAGCTTGACTCCCGTCAAAGCAGTTGGTTAAATCTTTCTGGTTTGTCATACAAGCTGCTGGCCACGAAAGCTTGTGAAGCACAACATACGAATTGTATGTGGTATAAAGTTTACGCATCGACGAAACCGGGTAGACACATGGGGAAGTATACAGATGGATCATCCAGTTTCGGGTTGTCTTATTCTGTTCAGTGTATTTTTCGAAACCCCTTGGTATTGGAGGCCTTATATGATCAGCTGACCAACGTGATTCCTCATTATTTTCTGCAGCTCAATGTTTTAGAGGAAAGAAGACGGAAAGTTGAAGAAGTGAAAGTAAGTGAGCCGGGCTCAAACGAAGCCCTGCAAGGATTTTATCGTTGGAACATTAGTTAGATATGTGATATGCCTACAGTGTCTCTCACTTGTTTGTAAACCTTGATGGGAAATGCGGCTTTTTACGTTACTTTCCTGTTTTTGTACTTATTGGTCAGTTTTTTGTCTCGTCTGCCATAGTCTCCCTGTCAGCCTACATGCGCACTCATAACTTAGCGGCCAAACTGATTTTATTGTTTTCCGTTCAGAATCAGGCGGAAAGTCGAGCTAAAATGCTCCAAGACCATTTAGAACAGAGACGAAGACAAATGTGTGCTTCTGATGTAGAAAAAGTAAGTTGGCTTTAAGCTGTGCACTTGAATTGTAGGGAGATACTAACAATTTAATTTCCTTTGAATTTTAGGAGACAGAACTTTGTTCCAATAACCAAGACAATGCCAATAAAGAGTAGGTTCCATGTACGAAGTGTCTTCTACTTTTCTATCTCCCGAATTTATCAGCCAACGGTAAACCTAGGTTAGTAACCATTGTATGGAGGGTTTAAGGTTTTCCAAAACGGCTGATGGCCCATCAAACAGTCAATGAAGATCTCGAACCAATATATGATATTATATCTCCCTTACAGGTCTTCAGTGAAATCTGGTGTACAAGCTCCCGTGGCTCCGTCTATTAGCATGGTGCTGAAGATTCTTGAGCCACCGAGCCCACACGTCTCACCAGTACCACCGACACCATTTCAAAAGGCACCGCCACGTCAAACCTGTCTAAGCAACTCAACCCAACAAACTGAACAAGGACCACAGAAGAAGCAACAATCAACAAAGACCGAAGAAACCATGGAATTAAACTCGATGCATGCGGATGATAGTGAGAGTATAACCACCTCTGCGGATAGCATCATGTTACAAAGGGGGTAAGCAACGAAAACAAATAATCAAATTAGGTATTTTACATAAACGTGATCGTGAGCATTGGTTATGGCACGGGAACTGCAGTTTCGGTTTAGAACCCATTTTCTGGTTTGCCTCCAAGTTACCGTACATGAGAGTAGACAGTCAAAGTTAGCATATCACGTCGTGCTTTCTCTGCTGTAAATTATGTGAACGTTTGGGTCATGGTGATCTTTTTGTTTTAAAGGAAAAAAATGTGTTTCGTTAGACGTTTCAATGGAACATCCCATCAATAATTACCCAATAACTTCACAGTGAAAGTTTATTTCAGGTTCTCTTTATGATATTTTGTCTGACCCAGTCTGCGGCCACTAAAACAGCCACGACTTAAGGTTAGCTTTTACAGGCAAGTGATCGTTTATAATGGATAGTTCGTCCTATACGTGGAGCCAATCTAAGCTGGAAATCCGATAAGAACTGTACAGCGGTTTCATCTTATTGGGATCAAACAGTCAATGAAGATCTCGAACCAATATATGATATTATATCTCCCTTACAGGTCTTCAGTGAAATCTGGTGTACAAGCTCCCGTGGCTCCGTCTATTAGCATGGTGCTGAAGATTCTTGAGCCACCGAGCCCACACGTCTCACCAGTACCACCGACACCATTTCAAAAGGCACCGCCACGTCAAACCTGTCTAAGCAACTCAACCCAACAAACTGAACAAGGACCACAGAAGAAGCAACAATCAACAAAGACCGAAGAAACCATGGAATTAAACTCGATGCATGCGGATGATAGTGAGAGTATAACCACCTCTGCGGATAGCATCATGTTACAAAGGGGGTAAGCAACGAAAACAAATAATCAAATTAGGTATTTTACATAAACGTGATCGTGAGCATTGGTTATGGCACGGGAACTGCAGTTTCGGTTTAGAACCCATTTTCTGGTTTGCCTCCAAGTTACCGTACATGAGAGTAGACAGTCAAAGTTAGCATATCACGTCGTGCTTTCTCTGCTGTAAATTATGTGAACGTTTGGGTCATGGTGATCTTTTTGTTTTAAAGGAAAAAAATGTGTTTCGTTAGACGTTTCAATGGAACATCCCATCAATAATTACCCAATAACTTCACAGTGAAAGTTTATTTCAGGTTCTCTTTATGATATTTTGTCTGACCCAGTCTGCGGCCACTAAAACAGCCACGACTTAAGGTTAGCTTTTACAGGCAAGTGATCGTTTATAATGGATAGTTCGTCCTATACGTGGAGCCAATCTAAGCTGGAAATCCGATAAGAACTGTACAGCGGTTTCATTCTTATTGGGAATCATCCTCAATGCTCACTTCACAAAACTCAAGCAGTTCCAAACTCACGACCTCCCAGCTACTAGCATGAACTCAACCGTTCAGCTAAGATCGATTGATTAGCAGTGTGAATAACTCTCACTTGGAATGGCTATGGCGCTACTCATCATTCGATCACGGAATCCACATCATGTTGATCGGTTCCTCGATTGACGACTTTTAATATGGAAGGTGTACTCATTTGCTTCATTTAACAACCGCATTTGTTTAAATTTATTTACTTCATTGCAGCATTGACATACGTAAAACAAAGAGAAACATTCTCCGCCGACTGAATGCTCGATCTGCAGATTCAAGGCGCCACTGGAATTGGGAGCATGATCCAGTATCACAGCTAAAATGTGGAGCTGATGATCAAAGCTCGTGCAACTTGATACCACAATCATGTATCGAACCAAATTCAAATAATTCACCAACTGATATCAAATCAGCTGCTATCGCGAGTTTGGCTGAAACAAAAAGACCTGATGGGGTGGGAAATGCTTGCCTGGATCCGACTGCCCGCGCGCACTGGGCCAATCAGGGAACAACTATTGTACGGAAGCTCAGTGAAGCGACTGTCACTCCTGGTATGTGTATACTATAGACAGTCTACTACAATTCAGTGATTTTTCTCTCTCAGGATGGCGACAAGGAGTATTGCATTATTTTCCTCTACTCTAGCACTGGAGACTTAAGCCTCATCTGTTTCTACTTTTTCAGCGTAAAAAAGTCAAAAACTTAGCTGCAGGGTTGAAACTCGGGAGTGACCCATGCTGTATACTGAACATTTCATGTTTTTTAAAGTACACCTTGGCAGGTACGGTACCATTCCTCTGTGTAAGCATTTTACCACTGGTGCCCTCCTGACATAACTAACCAGTATCCTCGTTTTTTTCTAGCTATCTGTGAGGGCACAGGGAAAGTGGGTGGCATTGCTTTTGAGGCCGAACTCGACTTGAGTGCGTCTGAGAACCCACTAACATTGGCTCCGAGGCTGAACAAAGAACCTTCAAAATGTGAGTCTGGCTTAAATATCGTATGGACACTGATCATCACACAAAAAATTCGTTATTCTGTAGTGCAACTACCCCGTCTCGATAGAACATTTGAATGTTCATAAACTGTCCGTCCCGGTATTCGACAGTTTTTTAGGGTTTAGTAGAAGTCAGGTTTTACTAACTGAGACATAGAATACTGTTTTCAGGGTTTCTAATAAATAGGAGGTATAAAGGCAATGAATGGCACAGTTACATATTTCGTCTGGTCAGCAGATGGCCCTTTTAACGGTTTACCGACTTTTCTTACCCGTTATTCATAATCGTATTTACCATCGTTTTGGAGCCATCCCATTGTTCATCTCACTACCTCAGTGACTTAAAACGAATAAAAGAATCTTCCTGACCCTTTTTTCAACTATGATCATTTTTTGTTCTATGCAAAAATTGTGCAGGCTAGAACAGTCACTTAATGAGTTTTTGACCTGTTATTAGTGGAATGAACACGTGACTCTCAGTGCAACTATACCATCAGCTAGCATGAAAGACTATCGAATTTTATTTTACTTGGAATAACTCACCATCACGATTAGCATTTTTAGCAACGCCAGATTAGGGCACCGGTGCTACACCGCCCTACAAACATGTCAAATTATTTCAATGAAGCCTTATAATGGAAAGGAGAAAAATAGGGCGGAAAGGGAGACATAGGGCTAGTCTGCCACAAATATCCGACTACAACCCCCAACAGTCAGCTAAACAGTCCGAACGGAAACTGAAAGCATGAACACCGCTGACATCTGATAGCCGCCATATAGTTCACTGTCTCCAGCCAAGTGCATGGAGGGGCACGAGGGTTCTATCCTGAAAGGCGAACAGGACCAACAGCACTCAAACTTTCATAACATCATTCTTCTCTGCCATGTCAACTTCTGTCCACTCCTAGGTTTCGGCCACTCTGTATTAGGCACGGAACACAGTACTCGTCTCGATATGCGGCAACTTCGCATGCGTGACGCATGACCTGGCCATCGTGGTTTGTACTTCGAGGAAAGTACCCTCTACTTCACCAAACTCCCACCTCCTGATCGCCTTATTGCTAATTCACTGGTTCCAGCCAACTCTATCTGTAGTTCTGAGACATCGGTGGTCGAAGACCTGAAGATGTGTAAGATCCTCCGTCCGAAATGATCGGGTCTCGAAGCCATCCAGCAATGCAGCCCGCACTGTAGTAGAATACATGCGTCCTTTGTGACCCACACCTGGCGCAAATTGGCAAATGCAATACGTGCGTTGACTTTGTCTGTCACGCTACTGTCAGAGCTGACGCAACTTTCAACATAGATGTACTGTTCCACAACAATATCTGAAAGCTTCTTTCTCGGAGAGATCCGAACACGAGTTTTGGTGCCTTTTCAGTGCTCACTTCATTACTTCAATAACGAAATCAAACAGAATGGGGAGCTGACACCCTTGTCGAACACAGATACCTGTGGGGAAGGTTTTGGAAATCTCTCCATACACTCTCACGCGCTCACATCCGAATACAAACATTGCATGATATGCATGAACTTCGGAAGCTACCCTGCTGCGCAAGCATGTTCATAAGAACTGATAGGTCGACAAAATCGAAAGCTTCTCTGAAGTCAGGGGACAATATCATAGAGCGCCTATACCAATGTTGTTACTCTAATACTTGGATTAGTGTGAAGGTATGATCCACATAACCCCTATCCGGCAAGAATCCTTCTCACCCTTCAAGGAACCCCTTAACATGCGCCTTCGTAAGATGTGGTAGAATAAACGTTTTCAAAAGTTTGATTACAACGGAGTCAAGTTTATTTCTTTGCGGTTACCAAATTTACTACGAAAAACTTTTTTGAAAATAAGCACCACTTTCGATTCACCCGTTAGTCTTTAATCCAGATAGAGACAAATGTGATAGACAAGCACGAACTGAGGATTTTAACTCGTCAAGTCTAGCAGCTTAGTGACGCTTGATGGACAAGACTCATTCGCGAATTTTTGGAACCGTCGGCGGTCCCAAATTTACTATTTAGGCCTCCGTTGCATTTGGTAATATCATCTGGGGAGCTGCAAGTAACCAGTTGAACTGTTCATGAAATTATTCTACCTAACGATTCAGGCACTCTTCTTTTTTAGAAGTAGGCAAGCCGTTGTTATCAGTGATCGTTTTGCATACAGGAGACCCCTTTGGACCTGTTGCACGCATCATTTGGATAAGTTTGCACACATTCCCAAAGTTTCCTGCATCCTTCACCCCTAGCTTTCTGGCTCCGTTTGCTTTTATATCCGCGAAAGTACTCGTTTTCACCAGAAGTCTGATGGCTCGTCTAGCGGCATTGTAAGCTTGATCAAGAGGAATAAGTGACCGAAATTCAAGAAATTTTAGAGTGTTGCTCAAGATCCACTGCCTGGGTCTGGTTGATTGAACCATTCCGCATATGGAGAGCCATGCACACAGACAGTACCCTCCACGACCTATAGTTCGAAAGAGACCGCAATGGGTCTTTCTGGTTGACTTGTTTCAAATCACGGTCTGAGAGCTTCTCAGTGGTCAGACGGGGTCTGCGCACGTTGCGCGCCCCTGTAGAGCAACCAACAAGTGCGTGGTCCAAATCCAAATACGGGACCCAGAGCAGAGGATATTTAGTAATTGACCCAGGCCACTTGTAGCTAATGGCGATGTTCACCTGAAGTTCATCTGTCCATCTCACAATTCATTGCAATGATCGGACCTTCTAGGTCTGACTTGGGAGTTTATCTTTAAGCAGCATTTCATTGGTTGAATGACCCCCACTCTCAGGAATCACCCCATTATCCAGCCGGATGTTGGTAACGATCCTTGAATTACCGACTATACAGCCCACTCTGCTGAGCGACACATCCTTTCTAGAAATTCAGNGCATCGGTTCAGCAGAGTTCTCATGCAGTTTTAAACTTAAAAATCTTCCTATTGCCTACATGGATCTGAATTCTGTTATTCGACGCTTGCTCGTGATTAAGTTCTTTAATTCCGGTCAGGATCCTAAAAGTAACTATCACACAGATGGTAGAAACGAGGTCGTTCAAGATTTAGCTTATGTAATTCTCCGTCATACAAAGAGATCATGCTCATTTTGGGAGGCTGATTTTTCTCGAGATCTCTTTTAACCATACAGCTGTCTTGTCCTTCAGGTGCCTGGTTTTTGTCAGCCGAAGAAGTTGGTTCCATTCAAACCCAGCCTGGAAATGACATGACACCGGGACCGAGTGGCCCCGGTGGGCCGAATGTCAACCTGTCGTCATCCAGTATTCCATCCACAAATACGTCGCCTAGTCGTACACTCATCCCAAACTGCAAAGAAGTGGTAGAAAATCCAACGTTGGTTAGGATGGACACATATAATGTCGAAATTCCACAAATAGTTAAACCAACATCCAGTTCTACCCAAGTCTGTCTGTTTCAAAAGGTGAGCACTATGGTATTCGGTGGGTAAATTCTGATAAGCACCTCACTAGGATCACTTCACTGTATAATCAAACTCGCTTGCGATGTAACACGTTCTTCGGGTGTGAACCCGTATTCCCTTAGAGTTGTCAATTACTTCACATTATGTACTGTAAAACGAACTTTTTGAAATAACTGACTCCATATACTAGGACCGATTAGGATCACTGATTCATGCACCCGGACAAGGAGACTCATCTTCCTCGATGGCTTCAGCGGTTTTTAATGAATGAGTTATGGAAATAACTCACTTCCTAGTGTAACATACATTGAAGCGTCGAATGAATGTGGCCGTTTGAACCAACTTATTGCGCATGGGGGGAAAACCGGTTTTTCCAGATATTGGTGCCGTTGTTGTTCACTTTCTTGCCAAAATCTTCGTTTTTTAGGAACTCGCTTTACTGATCTTGGCACTGTACCACATTCATCTACATCCTGTCAGTTACTTCGTTTGTATTAACCTCGTTTCAGGTTGATTTTTTGGACGACACCACTTACAAGAACGCAACCCTGTCGCGCACATCGGATGCCTTGGCATGTGAGGTACATGATTTGGAACCAGTTCCTGCGCAACTGCGTAATGAAGACAGTGGCCACACAATGAGGCGAGAACAAACAGATCCAGTAAGTAATGGTTTCTTACCGTCAACAAATCCTAAGCTTCTTTGTATATTGACAGACCCATGATGGGTGAATTGATCGTTTGGAGAACGTACCGGCCCCCAAATGCTAGGTCCTGTCCTGAGTGGGTGCGGTAGAGTGGCCCTTCTTAGGCTGAATAAAATTCAGTTCTTCCGCTTTCAAACGATTGTATACGAAGACAAAAATTAGCGCTACATGCTGTCGCTTCTCACGCACAACAACCCTGTGTAAATTTGATGGCATGCTGCAGTTCATCTTATAAGTCCGTGATTTGCAGTTGCATGTCGATCCAATTCTCGGACCCATACGCACTTTCAGAGAATTAGGAAATGGATACTTTGAGTCCTGCACACGTTTCATTAACAAGCGCTCCAAGGAGGAGGCACAGACACCTCTGTGCATGTTTATCTGTGTTACAGTGGTCACCACGTGGCAGCTTACTACAGTTGCGAAGATATCTGTGAAGTTCCGGATGCTAACAAGACCATTCGAAATCAGCAAGATTTTGTTGATAAAACCCTCCAAATTGTGTTTACACTTTATTCAACCGATTGTGCTGATGGTAGGATTAAAAGACAACAACTCTGGTTGTTTTCTAGGTGCAAAGCACGGGACCGTTGCCTGAGCTCAGTCAACTGATCGGGGAGCTGAAACAAAGACTGCTATCGGGTAGCAGCACAGATCACTCCAAAAAGGATGAAGGTGCACTAAAGTACGTTTCTGGGAGAAATTCTCTGGTGTTTATGATTGAATTTCATAGAGCTGTGATCGCGAAATCTGTTTTTGACTGTTTACACCCAAAATGTGACACCCATGCTTGACTGAATCATCAAAATTCGTTGTGTTAATTTGCCCAGTGGATACACGGAAGAGGTAACCAGAGTGCTCAGCTCCGCCCAGAGAGTTTCGGAGAATGTCAACCAATCAGCGCTAGATCGGAACACTTACAAGCTGAATTATTCGGACGAAGGCAACATTATACAACGGACCAATAATCAAACTGAGTGGCAATTCAGAAATCCCACCCTACAGTCCTCGGTGGTATTTTCGAGCAATCCCACTGCCACATCAGGGGGAAAAGAACCCATTTTCGCTTCCCGGCTACTTTGTTCATCCAAACGGGCCTGCTGGTCCACAGAATCCATAAGTATTTGTGGAACGGATACATATCAAGCTCCCGATAAAGGGTCGTGGTTGCGTGTACCGGACTGTGGCAGCCTTTCAAGGCGTTCTGGTAAGTTGGATCAATGTGGATTGTAAGTGTCACTTCAATAAAGTAGTGTTTCGGTGGCCACTACAGTCTGAGTCTAGTAAAACCGTAATTTTGACAAATCGAACTCTGCGCAACTCGGCAATATCTCACAGCTCGTGCTTCCTGTGTGGAAGGTGCACTTAGAAATGTCCGCGAAGGCGAATTGATTGATTTGTACTCGAGCCACTCCGTTTCGCTTTGCTTATGAGATCTAATGAGGTGCAATATTTAGTGGTACTGAAAGCCGATCGTGCAGGGTACTCTTCCCTTTTTTGTTACATTTCACAAAACGTAGATGCACCAACAATGTATATAAGTTTCAGTGCGTTTTATAACTACTGTTAGGCAAATAGTCATAGCAAACCACGTATTGCTGACATTTTGATTCGAGAACTCTGGAGCTAAGAGTTTTGTGATGAAAATAGCAACTTGTACTGTGGTGCAAGTTGGACCTCCAATGTGGTGTTTTTCTTTGAAAACACTTTCACAAGACTCTGTTGGATCAGTCTTCTTTGTGCATTACCTTTGTCGCGGAGGAAAATTGGGTTGCAGACTTACAAGTAGCTATTTAAAGTGGCCTAATCCTTCGAAAGTCATCCACACGCTCATCCTGTCATTCAGAACCTGTACTACTGGGGGCTAGTCTTCCTTCTCTGGGATTATTCATATTCTAAACGGACGACCCTTTATGCTCACAATTCTAGTGTTACTGCCAAGTCAACTGGGTAGTTGAGATTGGTAAGGAGGTACCAACCAAACGCGTTAGTTTCCTGTTTGATCAAATCGACCTTCAGCTAACTTGATGCGTCTGTCCCGTGGAATATCTCAAGCCCGGAGAATTTATTTCTGGTGGGTGACATACCCGGTTGAACTGTGTTACACCTATGTTCATCATGTTTATTCAATACAATTGTTAGGCTCAATACAATTGTTAGGCAGGAATCCACGCGGATCCCACTATACCGCACGTCTTTAGGCGCTGCTACGGCCGAGAAGCCTGGCCCGCTCGAGGTTGGCCCAAAATTCGGGA